CTGAGCATTTGTGGCTGGACTAGAAAAGGGACGTTCAGTCATGATCTCGGTGTAAACTGATGAAGGAGTAAACACTTACATCCATCCATTTTCTATACACCGCTTAATCCTCATTAGGGTCACGGGGGGGCTGGAGCCTATCCCAACCGACTTAGGGCGAAGGCAGGGGACACCCTGGACAGGTGAACACTTACATGTCATCACTTATTTCAGACTTTAAATTATTTGCGATTACTTTGTCAGAATCAGTTTTTCCTGTGACATGATTGTTTGGAATGAGCTGAACTGAATCAGGTCGAAGTTGAGCGTCCTCGCAATAGTAGCCTTTCAGATGTGTGTGTGTGTGTGTGTGTGTGTGTGTGTGCGTGTGTGTGTGTGTGTGTGTACAGTATGCTCTTTAGCAGTGGATGTGTGAAAGGTCAGAGACGCATCCTGTTTGTTGATGTCCTGCTGTCTTTGAGTGTAAAGGTCAATGGTGCCGCTGTGTGTTCGTGTGTGTGTGTGTGTGTGTGTGTGTGTGTGTTGATAAAAACCCAGTTGACGACAACATTGATTGTCACCTCGATGCCTCTGGTGCAGTGAGGCAGTGTTTGGTGTGTGTGTGCTCCTCATAAAGCAGATATTGTGTTATTTATGTCCATGTCTCATCTCTGCTCTGTGGAAACACTGCCTGCAGTTCAGCCTAGAAGAAAAACTCCCTGAATTCTTGTCATGTGACTGTCGGTCGCAGCCGAGTCGCTCAGAATTTGTTAATTTTTATAGAATCCGGTTCGAGTGCACTGTTTATTTTTACCGATTTTATTTCAATGCGACGTGTAATAAATCAATAAAAACGTCTCCCGTGAGGAGTTCAAGGACCGTTGGAAAGTTGAAAATCCAGCCGAGAGTTTCTGGCCAGAATTCATGATTTTGCATCTTTTTGTGCTGGTTTTGTACGTTTTAGTGTCCATTTTGTGTGTGTTTTTGTTTTTGTTTCTGCGGTAGCGTTGCATGTTTCGTGGTGATTTTGTATGTTTTTGTCATGATTTTAGCTTTGGATTTGGTCTTTTAATAGTAATTTTGAAAGTTTTGTGTTGGTTTTGCGTCTCTTTGTGGCGATTTTGTGTCTTCTTGCTGTGATTTTGCATGTTTTTGTGGTCCGTTTGCATCTTTGTGCAGCCCCCCGGCGACCCTCGTGAGGATTAAGCGGTGTGTAGATGATGGATGGATGGATGTTCCGATTTTGTGTCTTCTCGCTGTACTTTTGCGTGTTTTTCTGTGCTTACGTGGTGGTTTTGCATCTTTGAACTCATTTTGCTTGTTTTTTCCGTGGCTTTGCTTGTTTTTTTGCTGATTTCATGTGTTTCTGTTGTGATTTTGGTGATGGATTTTCCTCTTTTTAAGGTTATTCTGAACCATTTGTTGTGATTTTCCTTGTTCTAGATTCTCATTTCTTTGTGTCTCTGTGAATGACTCGTTCTGCTTCAATCACTTGTCTGATGTCGTGTGCTGGTCAGATGTTTCAGGAGGCTGTGAGGCCACAAAGCGTCCAGTTTTTCAGTGTAACCGGTGACTCTGCGGAGCACCTGATCAGTAAACGGACGCCGCCGCCGTGCGCCTGGCCGAGGCCCCGCCGGCTTCTGGATTAAAGCTGCCGCCGAGGAGCGCCTTGTCTGCCGTGACGGACGCCTCTGCAGGAGATCAATAACAGGATTTCCTTCAGCCTCGGCTCAGCGGAGCGACTCGGCTCGTCTCGTCGCAGCTTCCTGACGAGTCCTGACGAGTCCTGACGAGTCCTGCCGGTCGCTCAGCGCCGCTGCTCCAACAGACGCAGCGGGTCGTCTGCAGCCAGAATCTAAATCAGCTCAGCCGGCCCGGTTCAGAACCAGAGCTGCTGAAAACACAACTCCGGTTGCAGTTTAGTGTCTTTAGTGGTGATTTTGCTGCTGGTTGTGTTTGTTCTGCATGTTTTTATGGAGGTTTAGTGTCTCTGAGCGCTGATTTTTTAGTGATTTTACATGTTTTTGTGGTGATTTTGTCTTTCTGTGTTTATTTTGTCTACTTGAGATGGTTTTTGTGTGTTTTTGTGGTGATGTTTCGTGATTTTGTGGAGAATTTGTGGTTTTTAAAGTAATTTTGCTTTATTTGTGGTGATTTTGCTTCTGTTTCATGTTTTTATGGTGTTTCAGTCTCTTCGTGGTGATTTTGTCGTGCTTTGTGTCCTTTGCAGCATTGTTGTCGGGATTTTGTGTCGTTTTGTGTGTTTTTGTGATGATTTGTGATCTTTTTGTGGTCATTTTGTAGTGATTTTGGATTTTTTGTGTGTTTTTGTGGTGATGAAGCGTCTTTGTGTGGGGATTTCTTTGTGCTTTTGTGCCTTTTGTCTGTTTTCGTGGTGATTTTCTGTTGATTTCTATCAGTCTGAGGCTGATTTGGAGTGTTTTTGTGACGGCGTGGCATCATTTTGTCGTGAGTTGTGTCTTTTCTTGTCAGTCAGTCTTTTTGTGGCACCAGGAGCTCAGATTGTGTTGCAGTTTTTTCCTGCTCACCCGACAGGTTTGTGTCTGAGTGAACTTCCCGACCCTTCGCTCCACGCTGTGTCCACATCGGTTGGTTTGATCGGCCGCTGCTCGTCTGTGGCTCTGAGGCGCCGCTGCGAGCTGCAGATTGAGTTCTGTGCGTCCTCTCTGCTGCCGGATCAAGGCCTCCGACGCATCGATCGCTTCCTCCGAGCTCAGGCCTGCGGAAGAATCCGTCTGGGACACATCAGCTGGTGACCCGAACCCTCGAGTCCGTCCAGGCCGAGGCAGCGGCGCCGGCCCGGACGGTTTTATTTTCCTCCTGACAGTTACGACATAATGAAAAGCAGCGAAACGGGACCAGAATCCATCAGCGGGTTAACTGGAGACGTCGGCTGCATGTGAAGGAACTGACATTTACCCCGAGC